TGTAAATCAGTGTATAGAATCCACTGGGATATGTGGATGAAAGGTGTGTGTACTATCCTGTAAACCTCAGTCATCTTACCCAATGTTTCCAATTACTTATTTGCTTTTCATTCTCTCTCTCTCTCTTGAATTGTTCATTTGTGTGTGTTTCTTTTTAAAGGGTCGTGATTACTGTTCAGAAGAGGAGGATATCACATAGTGCCAATTCTGCCAATCAAAACAGGAATACTACTGTGTAAATAGATTACAACCCGGTCAAAATCTTTTGGAAGTCTTCTAGAGTGAGCAGCACTACATAGCAAAAGAAGATCATTTCCACATTGTATTCTCCATTCAGTTACAGCGTTTCTTAAAAAAAAACAGACAAGGAATATTGCTAAGAACTCGTATGGAACTGTGTTTGTTGCTGCTAGTTAAAACTTGTTGCAACTTTTCACTTTTCTGTGTCCAGATATGCAGGAAATCCTTAAATTTAATCTGAAAGACGCTGTTGATTTTACTAAGGTTGCTGGCCTATTTTCTATTGGATGAGGTAGTGTTATACAAAACTTCCATAACTGAACAATCAAGCTTCTAAGAAATCCTCAAGCTGTTTGTCAGTCCACAGATGGGCTGGAGTGCTTAGTATTACTGGTGATTTCAGCCTTTGGAGATGGGATGTGTTTTGCCATGACAGGCCTTGTTTCTCTACTGGGAAGAAGTTGAGAAATTATTGTCCGTTAAAAGCATGTTATCACACAAATACTGGAAGTGATGCAGGAGCAGAAATTTGTATTTTAAAGGGAAAAAAGTTTCATTTAATAGGTATCTTAATCAAGGACTAAGCTTACCGTATTGGCTTTTCTGAATGCGAATGGAAGTGTGATCACAATCATTTGAATCCCTTTTTTCTAAGAAAATAAACATTTACTGTTTTTATGTATTCTTGTCTTTTACCATTCATACAGTTCCACCCTTTATGAGTCTGGGGAACTTGGGAAGGCAAAGGCAGCCCTCTACAGTTCCAACTCCAAGATGCTAACACTTTAAAGCACCTATGCCCATTTGGAATGTCTGTTGTGTGTTCTGTAGAGTTTTATTTTTCCGTATTATGCAAAAGAGGATATTATCTTCTTACAGGCAGATGTAATATTTTTAACAAATATGGTCATGAGTAAAAATAATCTTAAAGGGGGGGGAAACACCTTTTGTATTTATTCTTTTAAAGTAGTTAGGTAACTGTGCCTGTCTTTATCTTTATATGACAGTGTGTAACCCCAAAAGATGACCACACCAAGAAGAGATTCTGTTTTTGTCAATGTGCTACCAGGACACAGAGGTTTCTGTATTAAGTTTGTTTCAGTGCTGTTTTGTTGGATTATATATGTGGAACATACTGTGGATTTTGAGATATATTCAAGACAAGATTTTCCAATGACTACTGATTTTAGGTGCTTCCATTTTTTGGTGCCCAATTTGAGGCATCTTAAAGAGCCATTATTTTCAACTAGTCACATTTGAAAATCTTGTCTAAAGTTATGAATCCTGAGTATTTGGAGTTGTGGAGGGCCAATGATTAAAGAGATCTCCAGCAACAGAATGCAGTGATGCTAAGGGTAGAGTTAACAACCAGTATGAAAAGGCTTTGTACTGTTTTGAAGTTATATCATAGTGGAGCAATTGATGCTATACTATTGCTTGAATGATGTACAACGCGACCCTCAAACTTTTCCCTGCTCTCTCTCTCTCTCCCTCCCCTCACTTCCTCATTTTTCCCGCCAGTACCTTTTTCCCTTTTCTGACTAGAGAGCAGAGATAAAAAGCAATGAGGTAGAATCACATATTCCACCACATGTGCACTCTTGAATAGTCAACATAGTATATTAATACTTGTTACATTTCATCTTCACGCAGGACTGGTTCTAGATGTCTGTAGCAAGAGTAATATGTCAGGAGGCTTTAACGAGACTGCTATATCAATCTGCCATCTGATGAGGGCATCTCAACTTGCCATCAACAGTACTGAGAGTTAAGTGCTCAGTACATCACGGGATAGGGCACAAAGTTACCAATAAGCAGCTAATATTTTTCAGGGTAAGATTCCAGGAACAACTGTCCTAACAGACAGGGATTCTACCAGATTGCACGGATTTTTATCCTGCTTGTGGCTGAAAATTGCAGGAGATTTCCAGTTTCCCAGATCTTCATTCAGTTTTATCAACTGATTTTAACAGTTTAATCTTGTTTATTTTGTGGCATAGCGTATCCCAAGCTGACCAGAAGCTACATTTTCTCATCTGTGATCCAGGTGTCACATCATTTTTATCAGGATTGTCCTGGTTTCTCCTGGAGTTGAAGCATGACAGAAACAGGTTTGTGTTCTCCTACACTGTGACTGTGCCTCTGTAGTACTGAACTTGTTTCATGAGTGGTGTCATCTCTCAGTAAGGTAGCCATCACCAGGAGGAGCATCAGGAACACTCATTTTAATTCCTTAAACAACTTGGGGCCTGGTTTTGCAAGCCCTACTCATGGGAGCAATCCTTACAAGATTAAACCTCACTGGCTTCAAGAGAATTATGAAGGGTTGCAGGATTGAGCCCTCTTTTCAAATATAGTTAATAGTTTCCATGTGATAAATGTTTCTTGCCATGCAAGTTCTGTGTTGAAAAACACATGTACAGCAGTCCTTAAATATATCAGCCTCCGTCAGTATGGAGTTACTTTCAGCGTGCTAATACTAAATGTAAATAAAAATGTATAGTTGTTTATAATGTTAAAAACAAAGTTGGTTGCTGTTGTATACTATTGTAAGTCTTATGAAGGAAGAAAAAAACATACCTGACCCTTCTCATGTGTCTAATGTGACTGTACTGTTAAGCAGCTAGTGTTTTAAGCCTTTGTGTAAATTATAACCTGACTTGCGTATTGCTGCTTTCAAGTGACAACAGCAGCAAATGCTTGGGTGGGCGGTTGTATTGGTGGTTGCAATGGTGAGGGGAAGGAAGTGTTGGGAGGAGAATTTGGAGGGAAATTAATAGCTGCCAGTTGCTCTTTGTGGAATTCCTGACTGCCAATGGGTGTGGAGGGATTGTCAACAAGATTCATAGTTACTTTACCAATTTTATTGTGCAGTAAGTATGAATAGAATTGAGAATTTTATTATTCCTGTTGTTGACATCTGGTCAGCAAATCCTGGACCATCGCAATATTTGTTATCATTGACAGCCACCATGCAAAAAAGAGAACTTTGCATTGACACTTTTCTGTGTTCTCGCTTTGGCTATTACCTGGTCATTTAACTAGCTGTCTTATTCTTTTTGTCAAGAAAAAGCAAAGTTCTGCAGTTGTGATAAAAGGAAAGAAACTCTGTTTCCTGAAACAACAAAAAACAGTCTCTTTTTTTCTAATCTCCAGTGTCAGACAGAGTTCTGTAAAATAAGATGGCTTCTGAACATTTAAGGCTCTGTTTTGACATCCTTCTCTCTACACCTGAACCATTGAAAGCTGTCTGCTTTGTTTGGCAAAGCAAGAGGACTCCATTGGAATGTTTCTTGAAGATTTGATCAGTGAGGTACTGAGAGACCTTCATCAGAACAAGTGGAGAGAGTGCATACAGCTGGCTGGAAGTAATATGCTGGAAAGTGGGCAATGAACAACTGGACCTCCTTTAAGTTGAAAATGCCTAGGAGTGAGATGTTAACTAAATGCCTGTTCTGTTTTGCCATTGGTGAAAAATAGTATTTAATTTATTTATTGGTTTTTGTAAGAGAGAGAACTTGCAGGTACCAAAAGCAGAAGTGTTAAGCTCTTCATATAAATTATATTTTTAATCAGGTCTATTTTGTTTCCTTTGACAAAGACACATCAAATTTTGCTAGAAATCTAAAAATATAGTGCGAGTCCTTCTCTGCTAAAGGTCTATAATAATATAAGCAGATTACTGTAGATTTAAAATTTATCTCTTCTCAAGTTGTACCTCAAAGATACTTTTACATGATCAAATACATTTGGGGGGAGGGGGAATTTAACTGTACACACCATATGTGCTGCTGATTATTTTTAAGGCATGTTATCCAAGAAGCACCAAGAAAGTGATTCTATACCAAAGTGTATTGTTAATAAGGTGCCTTTACCCTGGAAGCTTAGGGTGAAATTCTGGTTCTCTGTACAGAGCCTGAGTTAAAGGGCTTTGTGTTTGAATCTGCACCATTTGAATTTTCTTTTCCACCCATAGAGCCCTGGTAAATGCTCACATATATTGTCATAATTGATCTGCATTAAGGACCAAATCCTGGCCATAACCCCACAGTCATCCTGCAGGTTTGTGCAATGTGTGAGGTGGGGCAGGAATTTCATAACCTATTAATAGAAAACAGTATCACTGTGCTAAGCGTTTGGGCTGGTCACTATAAAATCCATTAGCATTTTTATAAGGGCATTTATTTCTATACTCTGGATCCTTAGGTAAATAAAATATCAAACTTCTGAAGAGTATTAAGAGACACTGAAAAGACAGTCTGGCACCATTGGAGTGGGTTCACTACCTAACCCTGGCAGAACTGTGCTAAGTTCTCTGTGTAGTAGTGTTAGCACAAAGGCAGAGAATTTCACCATTATTGTACTTGATTCAGACACAAAGGGGGGGGGGAGGTGGAGAAGAGTTTGGCAAAGGCAAAGCTCAGTCTTCAAAGGGTCTAGAAGGGAGATATTTGATATCATGTGCTGAGAAGTGAAAGGGTTAAATTCCTCTTCCTCGCCAAGAGGAGGTCTCCAGCTGTTGACAGTCACTGAATAAATGAGGCAGACTGCAGCTGGGGATGGTTTCTCATCAAGCAGATAGCCCTCTCCAAGGGAGGTTTGGGGAAGTAACACTTTCCTACTGAGAATGTCTCATGGAGTGGAGGGCTGCTTTACACAGGACTCTTTTTATAGTGCTGATTAAAGGGTTTTATTTTTATTTAACCATTGAAGTTGTTCTCTCTATCTCCTGAGACTAAGCCATGACCCATTTTTTCCAGGGATTCAGCTCTCTTTAGGCCTTCACATGGCAACAACCCCCCACCTGTAGCCTTTGCTCTCATGCAGAATTTTGGGAAATAGGTATTTGCTTGCATCTCTAGAACAGAAGGAACTCTTCAGCATGAACAAGATGGAACTGTGCTTTGTACAGGAAATATGCCATTGAAGCTGAAGAAATAAATTGCCTGGGGTTGCACTGAGAACATGGACAAGAAGCTGCAAGTCAGGATTTTTATGTATGTATTTCTGTTTAAGTGAAATATTTTCTTCCAGCAATATCCTCATGTCTTGATTTAACAAGCATCCTTGTGAAGTAAACACTAATACAATGTGCATATGAGTTGATCTCTGAAATCAGGGTATTGCTGAATGTTAAACTAAAGGTATGTGACTGGCAGGAGAGTATCACGCTTCTAAAACCTTAATCTTGGGTATTGTCTTGAATTGGTCATTGAAGAGAATCCTGGATCAGCTCTGTTTTGTGGACATCTGGTACTGGGGTTGCCAATTTTGGTTGGACATATTCCTGGATGTTTCATCATATGACATAATCTTTAATTCAAGGTTAATCTTTAATTCCTGGAGACTCCAGGACAATCCTGGAGGATTGGGAACCCTAACATATTATTTTAATACCTTTGCCACTTACATGGGGGGGGAGGGAAATAGAGACACGGAAATGCTGCATGTGTGCTTGTCTTGTGAGGCTTTCTCAATCTTTGCTTCTGCCAGTGTTCTGTCTCAGTTTCTGTGTCTAGTGCAATATATGTAGGTATATTAAAAGGTAAACTTTGGCCCAGCCTTAGTGTTGCTGCTTTGCACTGCCATGTGGAGAAAATCTAGTTTTAGGATTTAGACTCATTGACCAAGCCAGAGTTTTAAGGGGCATTGCAGGATCAGCTTTTTCACTCTCTGAGCATCAGGAATGTCATGTGTTGGTCTTCACTGACTCCTCAACCAGTTAAAGGTGCTAACAAGATCATTTCCACAGTTGCTTTCTTAGTAGGATTGTGGCCTTGAGGCTAAGTGGAAAGGTGGGAAAGCCTCAGCGCTTTCTTAGGTATGTCTAATAGCTGATGAGGGGGATCTGACTGTATCCTACACTTGTGATGGGGGTGGTCTTATGGGTCTTTTCAGTTGCTAACTTCCATGATCTCCTTGTCAGAGTACTCCAGCTGGCATTCTTGAGATGGCTGCAGTGTTCTCCTTAATGGCTACAGAACCAGGCTTACAAGGGCTACAGAATTCCATTGACTCTTGTCATGTTATAGCATGTGAGTTAGTGGGAGATGGAGAGAAGAAAGCTGACTTCTTAACAGGATCCTGTTAAAAAACAGAATAGACAACTTTGTTCTTTGTATCTCTCATGTTGCCTAATATTAAAGCCTCTAGATTTTGAATGCTGAGAAAATAACATGAGAAAAAGATTTATTGTCCAGTTGCTCTGTTTGTTTGTTACCTGGATGTGTTCCCTAATCAGCACACAATGTCAGATGGCACTGGTTCCTCTCAGCTTATAATAAATTTAGCTGTGGTACTCTAAGCCCCTGAAGCAAGAAGTATTGCATTTGCACCCACATGCAAAATCATTATGTATTAATAATACCTTATATATAGTGCTCTTCTATCATGCTTTTCGTCTGTAGATCTCAAAGCACTTTACAAAGTAGGTCAGTGTCATTACCCTTGTTTTACAGATGGGGAAACTGAGGTACTAGGAGGTGAAGTGACTTATCTAAGGTCACCTAGCAGTCCAGTGGCGGAGTCGACAATAGAATACAGGTCTCCTGAGTCCCAATCCAGTGCTAAAGCTTTTAAACAGAATCTTATGAGAAACCCTGGTAAGGCCCGTAACTGCTTTTTTCAAATGAATGGCATGAGGTTATTTCTGTATGTGTTTGACATCACCAGATCTTTGCAGTGCTGACTGCAACAATTCAAAACATGTAGATTGCATGGTGAGGTCACAGCAGGCAAAGCCAACAACCCCAGGTGTACATTTTTGTCTTAACACTTGAATGAAGTCAATCAAGCATCTCATGCTTAACTTTGAATATGCATAGTGTTGCTTTTTCATTAAGACTTACTAATGTTCTTTTGTAGTAACTGTTCTATCTCAAGGGAAGCCTGAGTCTTGCGTGTGATGTTTTTGTGTTATTCTGTGATACCGACAGTTGTAGGATGCTGAAAATGTCAATAGCCCAAGCTTTAATGGGGCTTGGAGGAAAATTCTGTTCTAGCCCAGAGTCACAGAAACAAATTCTGCTCTTTCACATTCAAGTAAATTTCAATCACATTGATTCCAGAGAAGTTACGTGCGCTTTTACTTCATATACCTGAGAACAGAATTTGACCCAAGCTCTGTCTCAAGTCATGAAAATCTACTTAGTTTAAAAAATATACTCTAGGTCAGCACTTTTCTTTCTTCTCGGAGGACAGGAGAGTGGTGATCATTCAACTCATTCAAACACTGGGCACATTGACTAGGTTTCTCTAGAAACCTGGAAGCATAATCCAGTTGCTGGCACAGGTTGTAGCGATTGAGTCTGTCAAAGGATTTTAAAATCCTGCAAAAACAGATGTCAAATGCCATAGCTCAGCACCCTTGATTACTGTTGTTGTTGTTTCCATTGTGTAGCCTGCTGCCAGTTTCCTTGGTTCTGTGCTGCAGGTCTCATATTTACTCCAGCCTCCTCCTATGCGGGAGCTGAAAGCTCATCAAGCTCATTCCCAGCCTTTGTTTCTGTGCGGTAACACTCTTCCAGCTGCTCTGAACTGTAGTGCTCTTGAAGGGAGATTGCACATGACTCTTTAGGTAGCATCTCGCTTTGACTGATGGAACACAGTGTTACAGAAGTGTTCCTATAACTTCAATGCCATTGTATAGAGCTAATAAACTGGATAGGGTAGTGCCTAACTAGTATGGCAGTGCCTGGATGCTACAATAATGGGTGATATGTTAAAAATAGATATACAAATTCTAGCATCAAGAGTCTGAAGGCAGCAGAGGTAAGCAGATGAGGTAACACAAACCTAGGAAAGTACTCCCGGTAGTAAAGGGACCTAGGCCCATAGCCAGAGACATCCCACATAGCCCTCCTCCCCAAACAGACACCATCATTTCTGTTGATATCCAGCTGCTTTCAAAACTCAAAGGAGTGGACCAAAGATTCCTGCTTTGGCTGCTGGACTCCATGGCTGGCTTCTCTTTGCAGCTGTCTCCCAAACCCACTTGTTGGAGGTGAGAGATACCACCCTGGGTCCTAGTGTTCCCAGAGTCAGAGTGGGGTGGGGAGGAAGAGTGGCCCTGGCTGGGCCCCTTTTTCCCCAGGCCCCTCCAGTCCCTGCTTCAGCTGCTTCTGGTCCTACTGGCTGGCTCCTCCTTGCAGCTGGCTGCCAAGCCAGTATGGCATGGGGGACATGGGAGAAGAAGCCACCTGGGTCCTAGTGCCCACCAGAAAGTGAGGGCGGGTCTCTTCCCCAGAACAGTTCAGAGTATTCCATTTGTGTCATGCAAGAAATACCAGGAAGGGACCCAGCATACCTGGCTTCTCTGTGTGTTATAATCACACACAAAACTGAGGTACTGTTAAATAAATATGTCCTACTCTGCTTGCATTTGCTACTTGTTGCCATAAAAATGTGAACGCCTTATGGAATATGTATTATTAACTCTGTTGTTTCTGAGGAAGAAATAATTTATACAGGGAGGGTGGGTGGATAGACACTTTGCATAGCTACAGAGGTGCAACTGTGCTGGGGCCCAACCAGACGGAGTGGCGCTCCAGCCCTTCATCTACTACTCACTCAAATTTGGCCTTGCTGATCCTCTGTCAGGTGGAGGAGTAGCTGGGCCAAATTTGAGTGGCATTGTGACCAGATGTGCGGGGGTTGCAGTGCCACTCAGGTTTGGCCTGGCTGCTCCCCTGTCATGAGAGAGGGGGCAGCCGGGCCAAACCAGAGTGGCGCTGTGACCCTATGTGCCAGGCGTGCAGTGCTATTCATCACTCAAATTTGCCCACGCCATGTGAGTGCGGGTTTGCCAGTTGGAGCACTGGGATCAAGAGGAGCCACTCTAACCCAGGATGGGAATGGTGAGTAGCCAGGAGGCCCCAGGGATGATAGGTGAGAGTCTGGGGGGTGAGTTGTTAGCGGGCTATGGGGTGAGTTGGGGAGTGTCGGAAGGCTTTTGGGTGAGGGGTTGGGGGCAAGTGAGGGTACTTGTTTAAAGGTGGGGGCAATGTGGGGTGTTGGGGTGAGTGGGGGATGTTGGGAGCTGTGGTTGATAGGGCTAAGGTGTTGGGGGCTGCAGTGAGTGGGATGTGTGTCAGGGCTGCTGGGAACAGTCAGTATAAGTGGGGGCTGGTAGAGGAAGGGAATATGTGGGGTTGGAGATTCATTCAGGGGTCTGTGTTTGGGGGGTGGTAGAGAGGGGCATTCTGGGATATGTATGGCACTTTGCTGAGTGGCCTCTGATCAGAATCAATTTCTTCTCTCTGTAAGGTAAGCAACATTTTAGTTTTGGAAATTGGGAGGCAGGCCCTCAGCTATTCATGCACCAGCACCATCTGGGCCCTTGTTACACCGTGGTAAATGACCCCTTGTGGAACACTATGGCGCAGGTATTGGTCACAGAACATGGAGTCTCACTTCTAAGTCATTGGCTCAAATGCCCCCAAAGTTGTTTCCATCTGATAGCTGTTTGGTGGTGAAAATGAGCTCAATCTCAATTCAGTTCCCTAAGAGAGAGAGAGGTGCATATCACAAGATCCAGTGCTGTCACTGCTGCTGTCTGTGTCGTACTTTAAGCAAAGAGGCCATGGACTGAATTAGTGTGAAATACTGATTGAGGCAAACCGGATGAGTGGGGTCATGTTTGGGAACCTTGTGTCCATACATACTGCCATGCCAGTGCTGTGTACCTGTTCTATGTAGTAATCCTCATTGTCTAGCACTCTCCATCTAGTACTCTCTGCGAGCATTAAAATCAGTAAAAACACACACATTTAAATATAGATATTTTTGAAAACAGCTGACGGTTCTGATAACTCCCCCCCCAATAGAACACATCCATTTCCTTCCAGGTGTTGAATATAGGGTGTGTACACAAGTACAAAAATATAACCATGGAACTTAATCTGCAACAAATAATTCTGCAGAGGGACTTCAACCATCTTCCATCTTAGTCAGATCAGCCTTACCCTCCCACAAACTGAACTGGTTACTTGACTGTGGAACTATCCATAACAGGTATGTTGTGCACACCCATTTAGCCTGTACCCCATCCCCACTGAGGCTGATGCCCAAATACAGTGTTTTCTAGGAATCCCATTGGGAACTGCAATGGTGTAGAGTTTATATTGATATATCTGGGCTACCTTTGAAACTTGGCAAAGATTAATGGGAAGTGCTATAATTTGCAAAGGAAGGAGAGGAGGGCAGAAGTACTAGGCTGGTGACAGTGTGTTCCCTGTAGTGTGGTAGGTTTCCCCAGACTTACAGGGAATGTTGGCTATTTGGCAAATGTCCTTTCTTCAGACAATCCTGTGTGGAGATGAATGGTAATGCAATGCCATAAAAATCTGTCAGAAGGATTCACTTTTTGCAATTAGCTTTGAATGTTTCACTGCAGGGCAGTCTTGTGCAGCACTTGTGCAGTGCTTTTGAAACACCTAGGACAGATGGTTGGATGGTGGGTGGACAGATTTTACTGAAAACTGCAAGTAGTTTACAGCTTTTGGCCAAACCAGCTTATATTAGAAACTGGAACAGAAAAACAACTGGCTAATAATGGGCTAGTAATATTGCTGCTCTGGTTCCAAATGTACAGAATTTTAGGCCCAAGGAACTATGAAATGGAAATTGATCCCACATGCCCTCTTCATGTCCACTGAGTTTATTTACGTGGGTGTAAACCTTGCAGGATTAGTCTATTGGGGCTTGATCCAGTGGGAAGTCTCATTCATTTCAGTGGGTTTTGGATCAGCCCTTTATAAAGAACTTAACTTTAGCTAGGTGACTTGGGAGGATGTCCAGGGGTGTAATAATTCTTGGCCATGCACATAGCATTCTTGATGGGGAATGTTTTGATAGTCTTCACTGCTTGTCATTTCAGTTTGGTAAATACACCTGCTTTAAAAATCCAGGTTTATATGGAAGAAGAATCCTTTTTTTGCAGGAAGAGAAGAGAATCCATTTGTCTTTGCTTTTAATATAACATCTGGTCTGTCTTATCCTGTCTTCCCCCCACTTCTGCAAATATTTTCAGTAGTGTTTGAATTTTCAAATGTATCAATATGTATCTGAGATTTGGCATTAGATGCGGGTGGCAAAGGCTCAATCTAGATATGACCAAGGTGAGGTTGGTTGGTGGGATGCAACTGGAAAGAATTGGTGAGGATTATATTGACAACCCTAATCAAGGCTAAGAAGCCACCATTTTATGATGCTGGTTTGTATTTTTGTGGTCTTGTTAGATCCAAGGTAGCTACTTGCTGTTCCAGTAGCAGCTGGAACCCTTTTTATTTTTATCCCCCTTTTCCCCACCTGGCAAGACAAGTGTGACAGTTTCTTTTGGATGTGGATCTCGTTCTACTGAGCCATGCCATTGCCACCTTAAGACTAAAATACCGCCATGTGGTCAATATGCAGTTACATCTTGAGACTATCGAGAAACTAAACATGGTTTCTGATTCCTTTCAGAGAAGAAGGATCATCTTGTAGTTAAGGCACTTGTAATGGAGATGGCACCCACCCCTCACGAGAGTCCCCTTCTGGTCAGGTGTGAGCCTGCTGTTTCTCAGCTTTTGGAACGGGGTGGTACCTGTCTCTTGCGAGTGCCCCCCTGGTCAATGGCATGTCCCTGCCTCAGCCCTGCCACACTGAGCTATCCATGGTCCTGCTGCACTGCCAGCCAGCCAGGAATCTGGTCCTCTCTCTTCCAGCTCCAGGCAGCAACTGACAGCTCTGTCTCTGTTGCTTCTTTTTCTATGGCCCTCCTGGCCCCTGATTGGCTGCTTCCACTCTAGGCCACCTTGAGGACTTCTCTGCTTTTTTTCTGGGGCAGGGTGAGGCAGGGCCATGAGGCCTCCAGCAGGGGTCCTCTGGACCTAGTCCACCCAATCACAGCACCAGACTGAAATGCAGAAGGTCTGAGTCTAGTTCCTGGCTCTGTCATAGACTGACTGCTTGTCCTTGAGCCAAAGCCTAGTAATGTTTCTGTGCCTCAGTTCCCCATCTGCAAAATGGGGATAAAAGCACTTATTTGTTTAGATAATATAAACTCTTTGAGGCAGGGACTGTGTATGTTGACCAGCACAATTGGCCTCTGATATCATGTGGGGCCCCTAGATACTACTTTAATAAAAAAAAAATGCATTATAAGGAAATGTAGGCAGTCTGTAATATTAAACATAATGGGTTGGGGATTTTTTAGAGTGTGCATTTTTAGTCGTAAAAGTGCCCAAAGTAATGGATGGGCACTTGTTACAAATTAAAATAAATATTTTAGAATCTGAGTTATAGTCTCTGCTGTAAATAAGAATGAGCTGAGAAATTGAGCACCAAAAAGGCAAATTTGAGCTTCAAAAGCTGTTGCAGTTATAATATAAAAATTAGTTTCATGATAAACATTCAAATCTCAGCTTATATTTTAATTTTAGCAAGTTTATAAAACAATAATTATCTGTGATTTAATTTGGAGTTAGAGATGATTCATCTCAATCTGCTTGGTTGACGCAGTGGGCCTTTACAGTAAGGAAAGCTTCCTACTGCTTAATGTACACGGTTACCAAGGAGTGAATTAAATGTCAGTTAAAAAGAAGCCTGATGCCCACATGCTTTTGAGCTTTTCCTGCCCTACTAACAGCATCAGTTGCTCTGCTTCTTCACAGATCATGGGGCCCAAAGTGTTATTTTTCCTGCTCTCTTAGAGGACCAAACTGTTCTATAGCATCTGTTACATGGACATTTCTTTAAGAGGCCAATAATAATAATGCTGTGGTCTCACTAGTCAGTGAGGGTTTCATGTAGACTGTGTGTGTTTGTGTTTTATGTGCACATTTTATATGCATAATACACATTTCTATGGTGTGCATCCCCCTAATGACTATTTTCCCCACCCCTCTCTAAACCTGAGACTCCCTGGGCATGCAGTTAGTCTTTGCAGAATAATTTGAACACCAGCAAACCTGAGCTCTGACAGACCAAAGGTGAAGTGGATACAACAATCATGGCCCCTTCCCTGAAAGTGCCCTACTTCTGGGCCAAAGGTTCCCCAACTGTGGTATCTGTACCACTGGTGGTGTGTGAGCTTGTTGAAAGTAGTACACTGTAACATGGTGGTCTGACTCCTGTAAGAGGTAGTGGACCTGCTCCAGACATGATCCCTTTAAGGAAACAGGTATTCAAGAGAGCAGTAGACCAGCTGAGGAAGATTAGCTACTTCTTTAAGGTGATAAAACCGAGCTGTTAGGTGACACTTCCAGGAAGGTTTCAGAGTAGCAGCCGTGTTAGTCTGTATCCGC